TCTCTTCTTTTAATAAATTGTAAAAAAGGATTTTTTTCTGTATTGCTAGTTTTTTTTTAAAAAAGACAAATTTTTCATAAAATTGTCATGATGAAAGATGAAATAATTATTACTGTTTTGAAGTGTGCGAAGTAGCAATATGGGACGGCATCTTTCTTTGCACACATAATTCTGTTCTAATGAACCCATGTAATGTATAGTTTATTTCATTAGTTAAAGACTTTTTTCCCAGATTTCTACCAGGGCGAAAAAGGTTATTTGGAGTAGTTAGTTCACATGAGCAATTTTTTTTCAAATTTTTACTCTTTTGCAAACCAAGATGTTGAGCAAAGTGCCCAGGGTAAGTGGAATGAGTCTCCTGTAACAAATTACATGAGCAGCACCTGCAGCAGTAAACACTGGTGTGTGCATGTAAAGAAACCCCAGACCTGCTTGTGAATGTGTGTAGAACCAGCCCTGAAATTGGCATCTTTTAAACATGTCAAACCCCGCCATTTGTGTACTTATATTGACATAAACTCACTTCATCTTTCTCTAAAAGTGTAGTTTTAAACTGACAYGCAATCAGCAAAGATAATTATTTGAAAGCACCTTTGCTTTGGAACAGCTGCAAGTGTGGCAGCTTTCTTTTTTATGCAGCAGYTTATTTTGATTGAACAAAGGAAATGTAGTTTATAATTCAGAGCTAAATTCTGCTTCCAACACGGTGTACTTTAACTAATCTAGAAATATTGACATCCTGATTATTTTACTTTAAGTATATGACTTCAGTCATGACTGGAGGGAATAATCTCTAAATGAATCTGCTTGGACCTAGCAGTAGCAGTTACCAGCCTTGCATGCTTAGCTGTGCACACTTTTTCTCTTTAGCAATAGGTGTGGTTTTGGCTCAGCTAAAAGAGAAAATCTTGAATTTCTGTTTTTTTTTTTCTTCATCAAATACTGTTATTGGAGAAAGCAAATGCTACATTTTAAAATATAATTCCTTTGCCTAATGGTCTTCATTCATCTTTATATTTCTTCTAGGCAAASTGGATGAAAATCAAGAGAATGGGGGATAGAATAAGTGCACAAGACCCTTTACATACAGGAATAAAATAAYATATTGAAATGAATTACATCTTACAACACTGCTTATTCTTTTTTTTTTCATTTTGCATCCTCAGATTGTTTTACGAACTGGTAAAATGTAATTTGTTGAAAGTCTGAATAAAGGGATCTTCTAGAAAAGTTCTGTAAATAGCAGGTCAATTTGCAGCCTCCCCAAATATTTATCAATAGTAAAAAACTGGCCAGTGTTATTATTTGGATATGTTTTGAAGAGTTCTGACCTGACTATTGTTATCATTGTTGAGAGAGGTTTGCATGTGGAAATTATGCTTAAATTAAGGAAACCAGCCTGATCGTTTTGTGTTTAGGGCTCTCTTGGCTTTGTCTTGTCTTGTCTTTTTGCTTCAGGCTAGCTATCACTTCTTGGCACAAGAGCTGCACTTTCAGTAAGGAGCAGGGCTGATTTCAGGAAAGATTGCTTTGTTTGCATCAAGGCTTCTGCCTTGTTGCAGTGTCTCAGATCTGTGCAGCATGCTTCCACAGGCTCACTCTCCCAGCTGTTACCTTGGGCAGTGATGGAACTTGTGCAGCGGTCCCTACTCAGGGATGCACCAAAGGGAGCAATCCAGCCCTTACAAGTTCTGTGGAAAAACATTTGGTTTTGAAGTATTTTCTAAGGTGTCTGTTCATCGCTTCATGCTGGGGGCTTATGTTGAAGGTGTGTGTTTCTTTGGAGGGGGTTCAATTGTAATTTTTGCGGGGGTTGGGGATGTGTGGGGTTTTTGGTTCTTGGAGGAGGAGTTTTGGTTAGTTTTGCTTGTTTTGTTTGGGGATCTTTAAAAAATATATATTTTTTTATTTTTTACTTTAGCAGTGTGTTACATGCAGTCTCCAGACTCCTTTCTCCTTCCATGCAGATAGTAGTGCAGTGAAGCAGATAGTGACTTTAAGAACTTGTGATGAGGTTTCTATCTACTGCCTTGGTTCTCTTGTCTGTTAGGGTCCCTGAAGACTCTCAGCTGTTGCAAGTAAGCTTCTCCTCACAGTTCCCTGCAATAATATATTTAAATTAATACATCTGAATCAGTAATAAACTTAAATTAATTAGTGCAATACATTTAAACAGCTAGAAGTTGATGTGGAGAGAAATTAGGACTGTTTTTCTCTGAGATATATTGTCATAAGTGCATTCACACCCTTCTTTGTTTCTCCTTTTTCCTTGTTTTTGGATATTCTGATCGAGAGAAAGGGGGGTGTTGCCTGCCTCAATTTTTGTCGTGTGAGATGCATGCATTGAGAGGAAGAGTTCAGCTTGTAAGGAAAAGACTTCTTGGCCCCAAAATTGTTCCACAGTGTGACTATAGCCTGTAAATAATTGTGTCAGAGACCGCCTATGGCATGTAAGTAGTTTGTTGTGGAAGAGGATGCTGTTTGGATTTAGAGGCCAAAGAAAGGTGGTGTTGGGAAGGAATCTTTGTTTCTGCTGCTGAGTTCTGTTCATTACTGATGGGAGAAGATCTGTTAACGTTTACACCTTAGTCCTTGCTAATATCACTTTTAGTCCCATGAAAGTCAGTATCCTTTTCGTAATGGAAACCAAGGCAATGGATGGGAAACCACATACCTATGTATTTGTTCAATATTTGGATGAAGATACCAGTCCTTTTCTTTCTTTCTGGAGAAACAGGATTATCTTTTTATTGTATTCTATTTTTCTTTTGAAATTTGTCTGGGGTATGGATGCCTGGTTACATAAAGACCAGGCCTCCATTTGCAGCTAGGGAGACTGAGAAAGCCRTGATTTCATACAAATATTTCCTTTTATTCTTGTTTAATTCCTTTCCATTGTATTAACACATTTTGAGTATTTCTGAGACTTTTAAAACTCAAACTCAAACAAATAAAACTTTGCTGCTTTGTGATTTTTTTTGGTTGTTTTTTTTTTGTTTTTTTTTTTTTTTTTTTTTTTTTTTTTTTTTTTTTTTTTTTTTTTTGTTTTTTTTGTTTTTTTTTTTTTTAACATGAAAGTACCACATTACTAGGTGTTGGGATACTTGCTGCTGTACTGTGTGCAGGAAAAACAGCCTTTAGAGTCTATAATGTGGTATCAGACTTCATTTTGCTTCCTAAATACACACAAATGTAATCTCACAGAAATATGAATTAGAAGTAACTGTTAGTAATGTGTTTGTATGATCTGTGAGTTAGGAATAGGAACGCTATAACCCACATAAACTGGTTGAATTTGTGTAAGAATAGTGTGTAAGACATTTAAMTATCAACCTTGCAGAACATGGACTGGCAAACATGGAACAAGCACTTTATGCGCTATATACAGAATTTCTATGAACAGATACCACCTGTTGTGAGCCACAAACAATTTGTAGGACCAGATTCATACKGGTGCATGKCATCATAAGATAGTACTTAGGAATRTAACAATATGAATTTAACTGTCTAGAAACTTCACCCCCTTTTTTCAGTAACTTAAGAAAATTTAACAGAGAATTGACTATTAAATGTACTGCTAAAATGTATTATGTCTTTGATCTATTTATTTTAGTTTATATCAATGAGGATTAGAAGTGTCTAGGTCTAAGCTGGGAGGTAACTAAAGGCAGTGTGAATATAAGGTGATAAGAGAAAGCGGTTTGTCTTATGAAGGCTGGTGCCAGTAAAGTTGGGGACCAGTGTTTGCTATCCATTCTGCCTTCTGAGTGTAGCTTTTAAAACACACTGCTGTTACTGTGGAGTATCTTCATTAACAGCCCATTGTTTTATGCATTTAGGATGTTTATTTTACACAAATAGAACATTTCCACCTTATTAAACTGCACACTACAATTCAGTGAGATCAGACATATTAGAAGTCAAAACTACTGATTTTTTTTTTTTTTTCCTGAGTTGCTTCATTATTAGCAGAGGGAAATTTCTGCCTTTATGAGCTATCTCAAGTCTCTGGTCTTCCCCCATGAAAGGCAGTGATGTCTCACATGTGCGTGTTATCAGCACGCAAGCCTGTGTGACTCAGTAAAGCTGCTGGTTTTTTGCTTTTAGATTATATGATTAGGTTGTTACTGCTTGGAATGTTTTTTAGCAATAAAACTAAAGGAACTGGGTTGAATCTAAAATTATATTGACACCATACATATTCTACTACTTATGTAAGTGTCTGGTCATTAAATGCTTCAAAAAATCAGGGAGCTGAACTTCAATTTTATTCTGATCATGAATGAATACCGTTGCATCATTGATGGGTGTCTAAATTTTACTAGAATGGGGTCTTCAAGATTTGATTCTGCAATTCACAGGCTTGTCATCAGTCTTGGCAAATGGATGGGGACTAAGCCAGTGTTAGAACCACCGACCCTCACTGCTGTAAAGCAAAAGTATCTGTCAGAGCAYTGAGGTCAATCTTGYCCTACTCCTTTCTGTRCTGTTCCATACAAACTCTACAGACMGGCAGAAAAAATTCATGCTCTAGGGCTGTTCTCTCAAAGTAGTCAGTCACATAAAGGAGCAATTCCTTTTCTACCTTGTACACACAGGATGTCAAAGCACTCTTCCGTCCCTGAGGAAGGCAGGGCAAAAGCAATGGATCCAAGTGAATGGGGAAGATAGTTTTAAATATGTTTGCTTTAAGAGGATAAAATAAAAAATGTTGGAGAGTATTCTTTTCCCCACAGGTTATACTATGAAAAAGACGGCATAATGAATATCAGTTTTTTAATCATGCTGGCTAATAGATGAATTTTCCTATGAATTGAAATTGGGTAACTGATGATAGGTTTGTGAAGTAATTAGAGGAGCAGCTGACAGCATACTTTTGAGTAGTCAAATGCTACACAGAAAGAAGGCAATGCTGTTTTGTTTTAAATTTCAAGAATTGTCTATTTTTTTTTTTCTGTGGTTTGCTCCTGTTCTTGAGTAGATTTCTTTGAATTCTCCAGGTGCTTTTTCCACATGAGTGCAAGAGGAGTAGACAGTTAAAAGAAGTGACTGCTGTGGAGGACAGCGTGACCACCATGAGAGGAAGCTGCCTCCTCACACTGCTCTTGGCAGGACTTGGGGTTTTAGGAATACTGGAGTCAACAACAACAGAAGACACCCACTGCCACAGAGCTGAGCACCCCATTATTGCATACAAAGGTAAGATGTAAATGCCAAAAAAACTTTTCCAAGTGCTGGCCAAGTATTGTGTAATCACTTGATAGAAATCTGTGCTTATAATATAGAATGGTATGGGGAAAAAAAGGTGCATTCAGTGCTGTTATATAAAAATCTGGGGTGTATTCTATGCAAATGAAATAAAACTAGGCTTTCAAATCTTGTTCAGAATTTGTAGCTGAATGTATCACTTAAAGGTGGGTGAATAGTTTTCCTTTGTGATTAAAACTAGTCTGTGCTGTTGCATGGAGATATTCCTTTCCACGTGCACGATTCTACATGTGTACATTTAATTTCATGAAGTTGTTCTCATCCCCCTCCTTCACCCTGTCTAGACTTCTTGGTGTGGCAGTCCCACCCTCAAGCTCTTTAATTGGTTTTTTTTTTTATTTAGTGCTATCTGCAAACTTTACAGACTGCATTCTATTGCCTCCCCTTCTTCCTGGTGAAGGTGTTGAACAGGATAAACCCTTGTGATATTGCACTTGTTACTGGCTCAGGTGGAGAAAGGGCTGTTAAACATTTACTCTCCAGCTGGTAACCCCTTCTGCTAAACAACAGATGCCTCTGATACCTTAGTGGTGGTATTGAGTCCCTCAGCATCCCCCAGTTTGCTGGCCCTGGGTCACCTGCCCGAGTCAGCAGCAGGCTGATATTTTTCCCTGTTCAACCTTCCATTCCTGTTGGAGCAGTAGAAGCTGTCCCTGTTGCCCCTGACATTCCATGCAAGTTGTAACCTCCCCTGTACTCTGTTTAACCTGATGTAATCCCTGCATGTCCATGTGGTCCTTCTAAATTCATCCTTGTCCCTGCTTGCTCCTGACACACGCAGCCTTTTTGAGTTGAAGCTGCACCACAAGTTCCTTGCTTCACCAAGACATACCCTTCAAACATGTGGTTGTCATTGAGTATTGGGGTGGAACACTGAGGAATGGCTGGAACAAAGTGAAGAATACTTGGAGGATGTTTTCTGTCCAAACCTGAGCAGTTAATAACTTATCTGACTTTTTTTTTGTTTATTTGAATTGGGATTTTTCCGTTAGTGTCATAACTTAGAATGAGTTCCAAATAGTTTGTAGTTATGAGGATGTAGGGATTAAGTTGTATTATATTACACCCTGCATTCCTTCTGTTTTTCTAAGAAAGCACATGTGTAAGTTTTTTGTTCCAATGAATTAGAATTTATTGAATTGTAATTGAAAAAAGATTTGTTTCCATTCTTTTCATAAACTTAGAGAAAATAATGTTGTGTTTTGCAAAAAGTATTCTGTTCTGGCATTTTAATGGTATAATGATAATAATGGTACCAGCTGTCCTGTTCTTCCATACACTGGAGAATGAACTCTACCTCAGAACACCAAACCATCAGTGTATTGTGAATGAGGGACCTTTATCACTCATTTATTAGTGGGCTAAATAGCATGAGTTATTCTGATGAAATATCTGTTTTCCTTAGCATTCATATTGTGCAAATAATTCCATTTAAAATGCTTACTTTTTTATCAGAACACGCATACACAGTATTGTAAATTAAAGTAATTGAAGTAGAATGGTTAAAATTCTGGCACTAAGCTTCTTAATTTCACAAACTAGGAGATCACTGCATGTACTTTTTGGTTTTTTTTATATGCTACTGTAAAAGAAAATAATTGAGACTCATTACCAGTGCTGCGTTCTAGGAGTTGATTAAAAATGTGTCATTTTATGAATCTAATTCATCCAATATTTAGAAGGGTTTCTTGAATTTAGAGTGATCATGCCTCATGTTCTCAGTCGTATTTAACTTCTAGCGATGTCCTTCCAGTTCTAAGTCACTATGCAAAGGCTTTTTGGGGACAGAGGCCTCGTCTGTCATCTTGTTCCAGGTGCATCTTTTGATATAGCCAAAGAGAGTGTCACAGTTAGGGTTTACTGAACAAAACCAATTTCTTTTTGCTGTAAATATATGTGGGAAATAGAATTATATAGAAACATTTGCCACAAGATTTTTAGTATGAGATCTAGTAAAATTTTGAATGCCAGACTCCCATTGACCTTTGTGCTAAAAATGCCATTTATGAGTACATATACATGACATAACTTAGCCTTTATGAAGTGACATCTCTTGGAAAATTTTCTGACAAGCTGTAGTTCAGGCTGAACACAATAATCTGTTGGGAATCCTTAGTAACCACTAGAAAGGATGTGTAAAAACACGTTTGCAATGCAGCGTGTGATAGCTGGGTAACCTGGTTGGTGTGGGCACAACAGCATTTGACTTGTGCTTGAAGGACTGCTAGTTAGTGGAAAATGGAAGTTTTGAGACCCAAGGAAAAAGTGCCTGAGAGGTTTGTCTTTGTATCTGTATGTTAGGAATGGATTACTTGGTGTATCAGACTGTAAGAAGAGAGATGGGTGTAAGAAGCCAATGTCTGAGTGAATCCTGCAGTAGGGGCTGGCATGTTTCAAACAGCCAGCCATCTCACTGATATCCGTATTTTTCCTGTGACATTGGCTGACTTCCTGAATTCACCCACCCGCCTATAGGAAAGTGCTCTCTGGGATCTATTGATGTTACTGGTGCTGCTAGACCAACATCGAGTTAAAAAATCAATTTGTAACAGTTAAAATCCCCTTGAGCGCTGCACTAATGCCCTACTCTGTAAAGTCATCCTGTATTAGTATTAGATCCACCAGAGCTAAATGCTGTGTGGGATGCTGAACATCAACCAAGGCTGAATGCTATTGAGTGGTTGGTACTTTAAAGCTTGTAAACTCAGTAAACTAACTTGTAAACTTGTAAACTAAACTAACTTTACTGAGATATCAACACTTTTGTTTTATTTATAACTGATCAAAGCCTTTTTTTTTGGTCTTTGTTTTGTAGTTTCTGGTATACCAAAGTAGCAATGTACTTATTTGATTTCTCTTCCTTTGAGAGGTACTGTAGATGGAGTATGAACTATTAAATAAAACTAATGGAGTGAGAGTCTGGTGTAGCGTATGGATGAACAGCTGCAAAAAAACTAATAAAAGGACAAAATAGTCCCCAGGAGCTGTCACAGTGAAATATGGAAAAGGAGTATATCTCCCAAAAGAGCTTACTTTCTTTCTTACTGCCCATCAAAAATTGCTCACTTAGGTGATGATTCTGTCAAGCTACCTTGTGTAAAGGTACATATACTATGTCTAGCACTGATTTTTCCAGCTAAATAGTTTTAGTTGAAGGCTGTAATATATCTGCTGGTAGCAAATGGCGAGAATTTCACCCACCAGCTGAGAACTTTTACGCAAATACTTTGTTTGCTGGTGGAAGAGGAAAAAGAAGTTGCAGTAGCAGGACATGCACACAATTTGGAAGGATTTTGGACGTGATTTAAAAGCTTTCATTTGATGTCCCTCATACACAGTGTTAATAACCATGTTGTAATTTGTTTATCTGCATAATTAGTATTAGGACTGCATAATGTATCTTTTTGCTGTCCCAGAATCTATAAATGTCTGCTATAGATCAGAAACTGTTGGCAGCTCTAAAATTTCTTGTCATACAGCTTCCTTAAACTAGAATAAGGCACTTTGTGTCTTCCTTGGAAGATGGAAATTTCCTTTTCTCATTATTTAAAGTTGTTAGGAACTATCACAGAAAACAATTTAATATAAAATAGACCTCTAAGTATTGCATAGATTATTGCTCAGCCCAGTAGTGTGCAGTTCAGTGTTCTATGTAAAACTGATGGTGCATGGTGCCTCTTTGAATTTCTTTTCTCTCTCAGGAGTCGTCTGCCTCTAGAAGTGCAAAAAATGTGCTAATGTGTTGAAATTCAGCCTTAATAAAAAAAATTAAAAAAAAAAAATCTCTCTGCGTATGTTATATGCATGTACTAAGAATTCATCAGCTATACTAATTCCAATAGTTGGAGTCAAGGGATTGTAAATCAAGTGTAACTTACAACTGGCTGAAAGGAAAGAAGGTGCAGGTTAGAGACTCATAGTGTGTGATCCTTAATTTTACACACATTTCCATATGTTTACAATGTGAAAAGAAGGAAATAATGCTTGAAATAGCTTAAAGGTTAAGAGAGAAAAAGGGCTTAAATAACCTACTCATTAGAGTGTTACAAATTTTATTTCTGTTAAATTTTATTTTATTTGGATATACTTTTGTTTGCATGTAGATATGAAGTGTTAGCTCTGTAAATGTATTTGGGTTTACTGATGGTCTGCTTTTTGGGAGGAAATGTTCTCTTATTATAGTAAAGGAATTATAGTATAATGTTTAACCTAAGCAGTTATAAAAGGCTGCAAAACCCAAATTTGCTCTATGAGGAAAAAAAGGACACTTTATAAAAGTTGAACTATTTTTAGCCAAAAAAAACCCCCAAAACAAAACAGTTGAGTAGTCTAACGTTTGTCTATATATATCCTGTGTTTCATACTGCACCTGCTCTTCAGAAACTTCATGGTGGCTCTCTGTGGACCTGACCTTTCATTAGATTAAAAAAACCCAAACCAGAAATGGAAACGATCAACAAAAAGGATAAAAGTAGTTACAGTGGCAGCTTGTTTCCCCAGACACACACATTTACTGAACTTTGAAACACCAGACCTGTCAAGACTCAGCTGAAGACTCATTCTGTAGACAGACCCCCTTCCATGAGGTAGAACTGAAGGGGACATTACAACGGCTTAGCAGCAGTGTGTGAGTCAGCTGGGAAAAAAAAGTTGGTCCACATCTAGTGTCAGGTGGGAAATTTTAAATATTGACTCTCTTGCAGTTTACCTGCATAAAGGTGTTTTTCTTAGGCTTTTCTGCCAGAAATAAAATGATGTTGTGAACTTCATTGATACTGAAAATGCAGTGGCGATCCTTTGCTCTGAGGCTAGTCTCTTTCTTCTAGGCTCCCATAACATAATCATAATTTAAAGTTGTGCTGTCTCAACAAAGAAAACATGAGTTTCCATAATTTTAGAAGCTATATTTAGTGATAATTTAAATA